CCGTGTTTTCATAAATCCTGAAAGAGAACATCAGAAAATTATACGAAATGTAAAAGTTTGTGAATCTGATCTTTGTACTCTTTGGTCTCGCATACTCACTTCCGGTGGGTAAATGTAAGGGTAAAAGAACAGCTCTTTTGGCGCTAAAAGTCTTTTCTCATTGCCTATCAACTTCGTTACAGAAAACCACAGCACCAGCAAAATGGAGAAAGTTGCCATTATAGCAAGCTCCATACAAGCTAAAGGAGACCGAACACCTGCTGGTTTCACTTTTAATTCTTTCTCCATTAATTTAGACTCCCCAAAACTTGCTTTCATGTTCGAATTCATCCTCGCTTGATATAACTTTTATGCAATATTTTCTAGGCGGACAAGATGCAGCATAAAATGGTACGTACAAAAATCATAAAAAATAATATTCTGAATTATACACACACACACACACACACACATATACTGAAAAACAAGTCCAAAATGGTTTTGGTGAGCAGATTGCAGAGCGTTATATAACCTGGAAATCTGGTTAAAAAGATGTTGATGTCAGAGGTGACCATCTGTTATTAACATGGTGAAAAGAATTGTGGGTTAATTCAGTTTTTGCATAATATATATCAAGTATTGTTTTCTCATGATTGACTAAAACGATTTTTTAGAAAAAATTTCTAAAAAAAATTTTAAAAGCTAAAAAGCAGCAGATGTTAATTGCTTGATGCGGATGGGTATGACGGCAGTGCAGGCCTTGCATCTAACCTGAAAAACATGGAAGTGTACTGCAGGATTTGGTGCTATTGCAATAACAAAATTGTGACTATTATATCACATGATTCTTCAACTTGGTGCAAGTTATATCATATAAAAGCGACCAAAATTATGACTTATTAGACACAAGAAACCAAACATGAATTTCATTTATTATGATATGCCAATTCATTAAGCAATAATTATTCAATACCAGATTTATTACACACTAATTACTATTATTAGCAAATCGTAACACACTAATCATTAGTTAGTCTTATATTATTAATATTTTTGAGTTTCATCGAGAAATAATTGTATGAAAATCAAGAGCATAATAAAATCGATATTCTGAATAAAATTATATGTACTTTTAATTTCTAAATGGTCATAAACTCATAATAAAATTTCTCTTTATGTGTATTTTCCATGTTTATATCTTTTCTCTGAAATCTTCTTATTTACTCGAGCCAAATAAAAATAATCAGAAGAAAATTTTTGGATTATTGTCGGCGAAAGAGTCACACGTTCAGACAAAAAGAGTGAGAATAAAATAAAAAAAAAAAAGAAAAAAAAAAAGAGGGGAAAAAACGCTCGTGGAAAAAACGACATCGTGTAATTTGCTTTCTTTGCCCGGGAGATCCAAAAACCAAAATAACCATAAGTAGCAAGCAAACAATCAGAATTATCCCCGGAAATGGAGGATCTGTGGAAACGAGCGAAGACCTTCGCTGAAGAAGCAGCCAAAAAATCCCAAACGATAAGCCTGCCGTCTACCTCCACCAAAATCGCCGATCTCGTCGCCGAAACCGCCAAGAAGTCCAAGGAACTTGCTCTCGAGGCCTCCAAGAGAGCCGATCAGCTCAAAGCCGTCGCGCTCAAACAGGCTGATCAGATCCAGCAAATTAAGTCCATTTCTGACATCATTCCCCCTCAGCTTTCCTCTCTCTCCATTGTCAACCCCTCCTCCCGTTCGGATCCTGCGATCTCCGACTCGGAGCTCCTGAAGTTTGGCATAACCGATGACCTGAGAGACTTCGTTAGAGGTCTTACTTCTAGCACTTTCCAGAATTTTCCTGTCCAAGGTATGTTTTTCTGTCAATGTATCCTCTTCGGTTATAAAATTGCTCCAGCATTTGTTGTAATTTATTTGGTGGATGTATAGATGAACCGGAGGCAGATGATGTGCCAAAGACGGCGTCGAATGTACGAAAGGATCTTTCAGAGTGGCAGGAGAAACATGCCACGCTTGTCCTTGCGACTGTTAAGGTAATTTCTTTTCTTTCCTTGTTTGTTGTCTGTTATCGTCTTTTGTGACAGTTGGTGTCGAGAATCTTTTTGAAGTTCCCTACAAAGTTTGTGTTATTTTTCGAGTTCATTTTGGAAAACTTGTGCTATTTGGTAAGCGTGATAGTGTAGTTCAATGCTGCTCGATTACTTGTTCATGTATGAAGCAAACGTCTTCGCTGTCTATGAGAAATATGTCTGAAAGGGAAAGCGAGGTTTGTCCATTTGGGTCCATCGAAATAGTTCTGTCTATGTTTTAGTGAATTCCTATATTGTCTGCCCTTCTTTTTTGGCTAGCGGATTCAGATTTGATTAGCAGAGAACAATGGATTGGCATTAGTTTATGATAGTCGTCTTTTTGGAAAAAAAAAAGTTGCAACGTGGTGATATTTGACACATTAAACAGATTTGATGTTATCCTGCATCTGGCATGCGTACCAGAAGATGTCTAATGCTCAGTAAAGGCCTTATGCCTTGTAGTTAGGCTTTTAGACCATCATCATTGTCATCCATTTGGTATCTTCTTCAATAGTATTTAGTTTTGTGAAGACTTAGCTAACATTTCAAATTTTGTTTGAATATAAAATAAATTTTTTTCTTTCTTATAATTATTTTGTTGCAGCAAATCTCAAGGTTAAGATATGAATTATGTCCTCGTGTCATGAAAGAGAGGAGATTTTGGAGGATATATTTTACACTTGTGAGCACACATGTGGCCTCGTAAGTAACCATAATTTCTTGGAGTTCCGACTTCTGTTTGATGTGCAGTAATTTTCATTAAGATTTGGTTTAATTTATAACAATTATGAGTAACATATTACTGTTTGAGGCATACAAATAGGTGGTACCCTGGCAGGTAAAGGAAAACATGGATAAAAAAACATGAATTATAATTCATAATATATGAATATTTTTATCATTTTTTAAACTTCTTCCTGACCTTTTAAGATTCTGAACATTATCTAGTAATATTAGAAGGAAGTTCATGAGAATGTATGTTCCATTGTCGCCTTTGTAAAGCTTGGAGTTCATGGAGACATTTAATGTGATTCCTTTTGATTTACGAGGAAGGTATTGTTATGCAATCTTAGCTTTCTACAACTGATGCAGGTATGAGAAGCAGTATATGGATGATGTTAAGCTCCAAGCAGAGGACAAAGTTGATAAAGAGAAGAAACTCCCAGTAACTGGGAAGTCAGAAGCAACAGAAGACAAACTCCAGAGTAAGACGTCTACTGCATCATTAGCTGAACAAGACTTGGATACATTTCTATTGGGAGATCTTGAAGACAGTGATGGGGGTATGAGTCTGTTCTCTGAACTAGCTTTTCTGTTTCTTTTATAAAAAATGGAAAAAAATATGATGCTTTACTATTATTGGCTTCTTGCAACCTCATATTTCATTTTATTCTGAGTTTGTAGTTCATCCAGCATTTTAAATGACTTTTTAATTAATTATATTTGAATATCTTGTAAATTATTAGTGTAAGTGTGCATTTAACACTTGTAACTTGGTAAATCCAAGAACCCTGACATATTCATTTCATGGTTTGGCACGTATCTAGACTTTCATTTGTCATTTATTGTGAGATAAATTTGTTATTCTGATGATGTCAGATGATTTCTGATATTGGAAGGTAGAAAATCCTCAGGGGAGCCTGAAGAAACTGTGTTTCCTAAAAAAAGCCTTACGCAATCTCCGTTTAAAATTTGATTTCCCATAACCAGATAATTTTACCATTATTAGGATGTGATGTATCTACCTGCCCGTCACTTGGTTAGTTGGTTTGGATTGGGGGTGATCCTTCATCAAAAGGGCGTGCATGTCCATGATATTTCCTATTTTCTGGATGTGTGATCATTATTTGTTTGAAAATATGTATGATCTGGTCTGATAATTAATATTTTTGTCTTGGTACTCTTTTTGTGTCTTCTATTTTTGTTTTGCTGATTGTCAATATGGCGTTCCAGATGATGGGGACCAGAGCTTTGCTGATGATTTTGACAAGATCGAAAATTCTGTAAGCTTGCAATATCTTGTGACAGGATTTTGAGAGCTGGTTCAACACTTGTTTTAATTTTTTCCCTTTATGACAGGATGTTGAAGATGAGAAGCATTCACCCAAGGAGGCATATCCCACAGTTTAGATTGCTGCAAATTAAAGAGGCCATGGAGTTAAAAAGCGAGGGACTTTATGTAAAAGACCACTTGAGGTATTAGAGCAATCAAACGGATACTTTGGCAGTTGGTTGTGGTTTAAGACCATAAATTTCTTGGACACATTCAAGGGACGTCATTTACATTCATTCTTTCGCTTAAAACTAATATAAGCTGTGACAAGTTGTGGACTTTTGGTGCCTGTTCGTTGTTACAAGAGAATTAGGGATGATGACGACTTAATATTTTCTTTGTACAGAACATTTGATCCTGTTGTAATTCAAGATGCCTATATTAAATATTAGTTCTCCTGAAGGTTATTTGTTAATAAATTTCTGGGGCTATTTGGCGTGAGACATCATATATGGTGACCGAATTGAATTACTTGACAGAATTCAAATGGGTCTGTGATTGTGGCACTTGATATTAATATCTGACTTTTGAACAAATGGTTTTGTTAATGCATTTTTATGAGTATCCGAAAAAGATGAGGTTAATGCATACCTCACTTTCGGATTTATTTGGTTTAAGTCCTGCCCGTTCATTCTATTAACATGGAACTCAGCAACCGATTACCCTACTTTTTATTTTAAATATACATATCTTTATTTTTCTACAAAGTTGCTTAAATCTTCTGTGTCTCAAAGAGTTTTTGAAGTAACGCTATGTAAGTTGGTATCATTAAATTACGAAAGGAGAAGGAGAATCAAACCGCAAAGTTTGTTGTTAAGGATATAGCAAAAGTTTTTCTTAGAGAGGTATGCTCTAATTGAATGTCTGTTGTAGCTTGTTAAGATTTCTGAATTAAAATGATTGAAATGCTAACTTGAATTTTCTTAGTTCGGGTAGAATTATGAATAGTAACACTGATTTAGTGAAAAATAAAAATAAAAATTTAAAAAGTTGACGAAACTAAGGAAGAAATCAAATATGAAGTGCCATTTTTGTAATTAATTAAAAAAAAAGCAATTTACTATTTCCCGGCATCTGTAGGTAGTTCATCTTTCCGAAGTAAAAACTGATTCGAAGTGGAGCCGACCGGCAGATGTAAAACGAAGCCCGCCTCCATACAGTTCCATCGACCAATCGAACTACTATGCTAACTTTCTCCAAGTCCTGCATCTCTTTGTCTCTCGGATTACGTCTGACACCCGCCATATCATCGTCTGCCTCTTTCTCCACCAGATGCAGAGCAAAATCAGTCAACAGCTTTGCTCTACCGCAGCAACGCCCTCCGCTCCCCAAGAAGGTCCCTTTCACCGTCTCTGCTCACGGAATGACGTGGCAAGACCCGTTCTATTGGATGCGCAACACCACCGATCCTGATTTCGTGGAATATCTCAAACAGGAAAACTCATATGCGCAAGCATTCATGGCCGATACCAAAAACATTCAGCGAACTCTGGTTTCTGAGATGAAAAGCCGCATGCCCGAAAAGTTTTCTACTCCTCCTGAGCGATGGGGCCCTTGGTTCGTTCATTTCTCGGTGACCCTTTCGCTTTATTTTTTTGCTAGTCGCTTCTTCTTTATTAATTTGTTGATCCTTCTATGGATTCCTCCTATATTATGTTAGTTTTACTTTCGACTTTGAGGTGATTCGACCTTGGTATTATGGTTTTTCTGTTTGTAGTTACATGGTGAAACGTGCATGTATGAATTTTTAATGTGGTGTTTTGGCTGGTTTTTAAGGCTATGTTTTTTAGAATTTACTGAAAAAGTAATATTTAGGTTAGAATGAGATGAAAATGAAATTCACTTAGTAGAGAATTCAGAATAAACTTAAAAATACATTTAAATTGTATCTTTTGTGTTAAAATTTCATCCTCTTTTCTCATGGTTAACCTCAGTATGATTTCTATATGTATTCCAGAAAAATAATTCATCTGCTCCCTTCATACTTTAAGTTTAATAGAGTGACTATTTTCGCCCATATTGGTATGTCTAATGGAGTACTTAAGTGCTTTAAATCACTATGCTCGCAGCGCTGCCCATTGTGAGTGGAAATTGCTAGTTTTTATAGCATGTTGTGTTTGGAACCTGTGCCTTAGAAGTTACCTAAGCATGCAGCATTTTACTTAATTACATTAGCTTAAATATTGGTAATTTATGTAATAACACGAAGTGGTGCAATTATGGAATACTCTGGTTGTACTAGTGCCCAGAGTATTTGAGGAACATTATATGCAATTAGGCGCGGTGATGAAAATTCAAATGAAGTTAGGCTTTGTTTGATGGATGAAAATGTTTTATAGTTTTCGTTTTCTAAATTTTATGTATTTTAAATATAAAACCATACAAGTTAGTTAACAGTAAAAAGAATAATAGTGAAAGTGACACCAAAGTTAGAATATTCTAAAATGTTTTTTTATGTTTTCTACAAAATTAATTTTTTGTGCTTTAGTTATTATAAAATATGTAATTTTTACATACTTTTATGAATAATACATGCATAAACATATGTTAATTTAGAAAATCAAAACCAAAAAATGTTTTCATCTATCAAATGAAGCCTTAAGTTTCTTTTTCCTCCATGGCTAACCTTGATACCTAATTAGTGTAGGCTGCATTGCTCATTCTTCCCAAATTTCATTTTTAGCTTCTTGAGAAGGTTCTGCAACACACTTAAGAGGATATCATACACATACAAGAGTAGAGTACTATGCCAGGTCTGGAGAGGAAAATGAAGATGGAGGGATCAACTTTGCTACTCTTGAAACCAATGGATGTGAGGAAGGCAGTAAAAATAGCACGAGGGCCTATTTGAAACCATACATGGCCTTGTGGAATTTGTGTAATTTTGTCAATCAACATCTTCAAATTCCCAAGGCTTACTTGTGTAAATTTCTTCTTGAAGATAATTCAAGAATGCTTATTTCATGTCTAGCTGATGTTTAGGCCAATAAAAAAAAGACAACAAGAGAAAGAACCTGGCGAATGGATGCTGGTTTCACCATCAGGCTGTGTGTCTCATTGTGTCAACTTCTTCAGGCTGCTTATAATTCTCTGCTACTAACCTGGCTTTTCAGTGCTTGAGTGCCATCAGGTTTGGGTTTCACTCGGTAAACCCAGTTGGAACCACAGCGTTAACTCCTGGAGGTGGAGGAACAATAAATCATGTCCTATTCTGAATTAGTGCATCATATTCTTCAAACATTGCTTGTCTGCACTATGTTTTTTTTGGCCTTGGTGAAGGTTTTCAGTTCAAAAGGTAAGGCCTTTATGTGGGAAGAAGTGAAGATGTAGAAGATAAGGCAAAAAAGACTTGGAATAATTTGGGGTTTGGATTTGCCTGTCTTTTTCCTTGTTAGCACACAAATCTAATTGGACAGGGGTTAGGAAGTTTGAGAGTTACAAAATCATCTAAGGAAGATTTGCATATGGTTGGTGGTATCGCGGTAATTCAGATAGCTGAAGTAGAGGGGATTGATGTGCTCAAATTTGAAACAAGATGAGAGGATTAAGGAGCACTAATGTTAGTTTTATTGTGGAGAAGCTGAGATGGTGATAAATTAGGATAGACTGGGAATTTAGATTTGAAATCAAAATTGTTGAGCTGGGAATAAGGTCAATTGGATTAGAGTCAGATTTTAAGTAGGAAGAATCAGTAGGGAAATTTGAATTTAGATGTAATATTTTGTTGGCTAAATATGGTAGAAGGGATAAAAGGGGATATGAAAAACTAGGAGAGTCCAAGGGTTGAGAAATACTTTACCTTAAATTCAAGTAAGGAAAGATATCCCCTTGAAAAATAAACAAACGGGAGATTATGTCTTCTTGGATTTCAAGTTGAAGCGGCAATAATACTTGTAGTTATCACTGTACTCTATAAAACACAACTGACAGATTAGGGATGGTAATTGCTACTCCTTATAGCGATCAAATTCGGAAAACATTGGCAACCAAACATACAGAGGTGAGTATAAGGAGGACTTCTGATACAACTTTGTGGCAGGCACTTTATTAGTGGTAGCTGATGATGGTGAGCAACATACAGCATGGACTAAGGTGTCTAAGGCTTCTATCTGAAATGCAGGTGGCATGGAGGCTTGAAATAGCATAGTACAAACTATGGAATTTAAGGTCCTTGTTAGGACCCAATAATAGTGGTTAAGTTTGTTACAAATAATTAATTAGGTTGTTTTGATTATTTATAAATTATTTCAATTAAATATTTTTCAGCTATAAAAGGCGGTGTTCGAATGATTTTTGTATCAAGCAAAATATGAATGAAAGATGAAAAAGAAGGCTATCATCTTTTCTGAAATTTGTGATATGAACAAGAAAAATTCTTAGAGACAGATCTTTGAAGAAGCAGCATACCTTATTTGCTTTATAGATAACATTAACACTATCTACAAGCTTCATAGCCTACCAGAATAATTGTCTCTGATTGAGATAAAAATTCACCATCCTTTTCTTTCAAGAGTTACTCTGATTGTGTAGCAAACAAACACACCTAAGCTAGGTGTACAATCCACAGTCTGATTACAAACAGAACAGTCTAATAGGTGCTTTGAGAATTATCTGCATTGTGCAATGGTGGTACGATTCTGACCACCATACCAGCACAATGTCCCTATTTAAGACCTTTTACAGATATACTCCATCACACTTTTCGCTGGCCTTGACTCTTGTTGCCAGTATAGAGTCCCTGCTCTTGGAATGCCAACAGATGACAATTACTGAAAGACTTGCTTGCAGTGGCTTAAAATCAGGTAAAATAACTGGTGGATCAATATAGATCAGAGAGGACCTTCAAGGTTGGGGACATGGTGTTTCTGAACTGTAACCGTATAAAAAAGTGGTGTCCAAAATACTATTTTTTCTTTTCAGGTCATGCAACAGATTGGCCTTTGGCTTGCAAGCTCATACCTCCTCCAGAAGGTCAACATCATCTAGTCTGTCATGTATCTTTTTCGAAGTTTGTTGGTGAAAGCTGCCGTTACTCCTCAACTCCCTGCTGCAGCTACTTATGGCAATTCAAAGTGGAGCATTTAGCTATCCTAAACAGAGGACTATCTATTCCCATAACAGATATGTGGAAGTATTCTTACAGTGGGTAAATCTGGATTCAGAGGGACTACCTGGAAAGATTTGAGATTCTTGAATATCCAATTTCCTTATTTCATCGCTTGAGGACAAGGCTGTATGTCAGTTGCTCTTGGTAACCGGTGGCAGATAGCTTACCTGTGCATCCAGCATTTTACTTAATTGGATTAGCTTAAATGTTGTTATTTCTGCAGTAACGTGATTAGTATGCATTCTTTCTATTAGGGAATATTTTTGTTTCTAGCTTCTTAGATTTTAGTAATAGGAAAGTTAGAAGTCTGGTTGTACTGGTAACTTGAGTATTTAAGGAATATTGTGTGTCATTCTTAGGCATGCCAATGAATATTCAAATGAAGATATATTTTCCTATCTCCTAAATGTCTCTTCTCCATCTTAAAACTCTTCTGCTTATCTTCTCTCTCCAATTTTCTCTCCCTGCTCTCATCCCTGTCCGTCCTACATTCTTTTTTTCATTGTTTCTAGCTTTGGCATCATTTTCTTCATTTAAAATGTTTTTTGTATAATTAAACTTGGAATTAAAGTACTCTGGTATAATTGAGCAGGTTGTACTTCCAATACATACCTGAAGGGAAGGAGTACCCGGTTCTGTCTAGGAGGCTAGAAACACACAACAGTTGGCTGAACACTTTTTTCGATGGTTCAAGAAAGGGAAAGGAGCAGATTTTGCTTGACTGGAACCAAATTGCAGAACAATATGGCAAGCTTCATACTAATCTCATATCTAAGCTCATTATATGAATGAATGATCATACTGACCTCATATCTAAGCTCATTAATATGAATGAACATAGCTCATCCTTTCTAGATGTATCTATGTTGGCATTGTGTGTTATTAAAATGGTAGGACAATGTCTGGCAGCTAAAAGACCAAGAAAGCATACCTTGGAAATGTAAAGTGCTTTTCCTAGAGAATAAACAGTAGAACTAAGTTAGTAGAATGCTAATGATGTGGGACAAGAAGATCCTAGAATTTATGTATTTTATGGAGTACTAGGACTATATGTGTATAAATTAATGGAAGCAATATAAGGAAACCAAAAACAATTACAAAGAAAGTGTATATTACTAGTATACTCTTTACCCTATTTAGTTGACATTCTAGCATAATATACGATAGTTTTTAATACTCTCTCTCAAGTTGGTGAATGGATATTATTCATTCCTATATTGGTGATAATTGTTTGAAAACCAAGATTACTTAATCTTTTGGTCAATACGTCAGCAAGTTGCGAAACAATATGCATATATAGAGTGCATATTAATCGACTATGCAATTGTTTCTTGATAAAATGTTTGTTTACTTCAATATATTTCGTTATGTCATGTTGTACTGAATTGTAAGCGGCGTTAATTGATGAGATATTGTTGCAGTACAGTCTTATAGGTCCATCCACTGAGTCTTCGAGTCTTCTAAAATCATCTTCAACTATAGGAGCTCACACACTCCTTGAGCCATGACTCTGAACTCTGACTTGGCACTAGATCGAGCTACCATATTTTGCTTCTTAATTCCTTATATTATCATATTTCCTATGAGAAAAGCATAATATCCAGAAATGGATTTTCTATTAATTAATGATCTTACACAGTCACTATCAGTGTATGCTTGAAAAAGTTGCTCATTGTTTCTTCTGAACATAATTCCCTTCCGTGGAGTACATTTCAAGTAGTGAAGTGTCAATATAGGCGGCTTTTAGGTGCATTTCTTTAGGTTTGTACATGAATTGACTCACGATACTAACTGTATAATCAATGTCTGGTCTGATATGCAACAAGTATATTAATTTTTCCACTAGTCTTCGAATAAGTTTACTTGTCCACTTTTGGGTCTTCTTCTGCCAGTCCTGGTTATGATTGGGATTAATTGTATGCTAGCAGACTTGCATGTTAGCTTGTTAGTTTCCTTCAAAAGGTCTCTAGTATACTTTTGCTTTGGAGACGTGTCTTTGAAAGAGAGAAACATGTGGCGCAGATCTGACGGAGAAAGAAGTTCTGGAAGGGACGCATGGCAAAATTCTGGCTGTTGGATCCTAAAGCTTGAATTAGGTTACTTCTCCGATGAGCTATTGTTTCCAGCAGCGTTTTTGGATTGTTTCTTCAGATTTCTGTTTTTCTTCTTGATTTTTTGATAGTAACTGAAATTTGTTATAGAATATGGCATATTCTCTGAAGAAGTTCGGATCTTGTCACCTATAAATACCTCCCCCCCCAAGCCATTGTAATTGGGCATCCAAGAAAATACACAAAAAATTTCTGTATTCTTCTCTTCATTTCTGATCTTCTTCTTCTCTGTTCTGTTCATGTCTCTCTCTCCCTCTCTCCCTCTCTCCCTAACTTCTCTCTAAATTCTCTGTAGTTTCTAATTTTTTGGCTGAGTATATATCTGAGGCTCCTGAAAAATTTCCTATTGTTTCAGTAGCCAGTGCTGATATATTTGCTGTTATAACTTTCAGGTTATGTACATGTGGGTACATGTCGAATTTCTCCTGATCATAACTTTCTAGCATATACCCTTGACATTACTGGAAGTGAACAGTTTATGCTTCAAATTAAGGATCTCAGGAATGGATATGTAACTCCACGGTCACGGGTTGATGGAGTTGTTAGCTTGGCATGGGCTCAAGATAGCAATACTCTGTTCTACACTATATCAGACAAGAACCAACGACCTTACAGGTAAACTCTCACAGATTTGCTGAGCCTTCTTTCTTCAAACTCAGGATACTGTTTCACCTGTATCTATTTTTTCAGGGTTTGTTGTGCAAGAGTAGGATCAAAAAATATGGATGGTCTTTCCGTATTTACAGAGACTGATAACAACTTTTGTGTGGACATAACAAGCACAAAAGATGGCAAGTTTATAACTATCAATTCAAACTCAAGGACTTCATCCGAGGAAGCAACTAATCTATTTCATTTAAAATTTTTCTTAAATAACCGTATCAAACTTCTTGTTTTTGTTCTTGTTGTTCTTTTTCTTCTTATTTCTAAAGGCTAACTTTTAAGTTCTTATTATTTCAGGTTTATGTGATTGATGCAACCAATCCACAAGCTGGTTTGCAAAGAGTACGTGAGCGTGTTTCTGGCATGCAGTATTTTTTGGAACATCACCATGACTTTTTCTATATTTTGACAAATGCTCCTTCAAGTGAAAACATAGAGTGTTCCGGCCACGAATATTACTTGGCTAGATGCAGAGTTGAAGACATTCAGTCTTCTAATTGGCAGGTTTAGTTTTTCCTTTTTTAATCATGGTTGTCTATTTTTCTTGTGTGGATGCACATGTATGCGTACATGTCTTCATATGGGTACACCTCAAAAAGAAAACAGTGCACTTTATATGTTCCTCTCCTCATCTTTTACATAACCTTTTTTGCTTTAGATTATCATCTGTCCAACTGGAGATATCAGCTTACAAGATATGGACATGTCTGATGAGCATCTGGTGCTTTTTCTTGATAAGAAGGGCTTTCCTATGCTATGCTCTATTGATTTGCCTGTCAATGTCGATAGTAAGGTATTAAAATTTCTTATTTCACATTCTTGTTAGCATTTAGAACTGTTCTTAAAATTTCTTATTTCTTTAATTTGTTTGTGTTAGTGAATGCTACTGCAATGTAATTCTCCTGTCTATTTTGCAGTCTCATTTGAAGATTGAGAATCTTAATCCATGGTTTTTTCCTCTGCCCTCAAGTTTATGTAGCATTGCTCCAGGTTCAAACCATGACTTCAGGAGTTCAGTATATCGAGTGGTGCTGTCATCACCTGTGGTATAATTCGTAGAAAACTTACTATGTTTGGAGTTCTAGCAATGCTTTATAGCTTTCTGGCTTGGACAGCCTTATCTACTGCGCTTTCAAGCCTCCAGTATGCTTTTGAGTTGCTTTCAGTTGCATATCTTATGCTTGAATTCCATTTGGTTCTGAATATTCTTTCTAATACACAGATCTCTGATGTGATTGTCGACTATGACATGTCACGAAAAATGTTCTCTATCGTGCAACAAGATGATGTAAGAGGTGTTTCAAGTGAGCCTACATTATCATCTTCCACTGATGCAGTAGATACATTCTATGGGCACCATGCACAAAATGATAAGGCAAAAGAAGGTCCTAACATTGAATTACAGGGCTGGAAGGACTTTTCTGATGCTTACTGCTGTGAAAGGAAAGAAGTAATCTCATACGATGGTGTGAGGGTTCCTCTAACTATTGTCTATTCCAAAAAAACCTGGCGGAAGAGTCTGTCACCAGGGCTTTTGCAAGGCTATGGAGCATATGGGGAAGTCCTAGATAAAAGCTGGTGTGCAGACCGCCTGACTTTACTTGATCGTGGTTGGGTGGTGGCATTTGCTGACGTGAGGTTGGTTCTATCAAGTTTTTCTCAAATTGATTGGACTGAGCTTGCGCATGTGAAGTTTTGAATGTTTCTATTTTGCAAAAAAGCTTGCAATTATTTTACTGGAGTTATTCTGAGGTCTATTACAAATCATGGTTTATCTCAACGGTTTTTCAATGCTGATCATGTTTTGTGATTTTATAGAAATAGTTTACAGTTGCAAGGCTGAATTTTTGCACATTTGATGCTGCATGGCAAATTCCTCAAAATATCTAAAATGAATGCCAATAGCATTGTTTACAACAATTCTAATTTTCATGGACAGGGGTGGAGGTGGAGGTGATTATCTGTGGCATAAATCTGGTAGTGGGTTGTTCAAACAAAATTCTATCTATGACTTTGTATCATGTGGCAAGTACTTAATGAATGAGGGCTATATTCACAAAGATCGTCTCAGTGCAATTGGATTCAGTGCTGGGTGTGTTCTTGTGGGTGCAGCTATGAATATGTACCCAGATCTGTTTCGTGCTGCCATTTTGAAGGTTGGCTTTTGCAATGAAGTAGTTTTATTTATTACTATAATCTCAACCCATTGACGTGGATTGGATTAGTATTTTATTTTCCATCATTCATTCATACATCGAGAAAGCAATATATATATATATATATATGTATGTGTTTATCACATTTGTAACTAAAATATGTTCATTACTGCTATTGTCTCACCCCAGGGTGGGGATTAGACTAGTATTTTTAGATTCCATAATAGATCCATAAGTTGAGAGGGGAAGGGATCATCTCGGCATCATTTAATTATTACACTTGTTTCTAAAATAGATATAAGATAAACTACTAAGGACCGGAAAATAGTTGCACTGTAAATCTTTCTATTAAGTAACGATGTATCCATTAGATATCTAAATTAATAATCTATTATTAAATTTTGGTTTGGTATCTACAGATGTATGTACTTAATCCCTTGAAGATCCTTGTTAATGATGCTTTCCTTTTTCTCCCCTATTCTATTTGTTACTCTAAATGGTTTTCCTGTACTTTGTTTCAAGAAATTGATTATAGCCTATATTTCTTGAGTTTGTTATGAGAAAACTTTTTTGCTAATTGGTGGATCTGCAACAGGTGCCATTTCTTGATATGTTGAACACCTTGTTGGATCCTAGCTTGCCTCTGACAATATTGGACTACGAAGAATTTGGAAATCCCGAAATATTGTCTGAATTTCAGTGCATTCGAAGTTATTCTCCTTATGAAAACATTCCTCGTGATATTTGCCATCCGTCTGTGCTGGTTACAGCGTCCTTCCATGATTCAAGGCAAAATTTTCTCGCAATTAGTAATTATACTCAGTTTCATTTGGGTTGACATGCAAAGGCTATAATTCACATGCTGATCAGCAATGCTTAATGTTCTCAGGGTTGGAGTGTGGGAAGCTGCAAAATGGGTTGCAAAAGTACGAGATAGTACATGTTCTTCTTGCTCTGGTTCAGTCATTTTGAAGACAAATATGAGCGGTGGACATTTTGGTGAAGGTGGCCGCTTTGCTCAGTCTGAGGAAACGGCTTATGATTATGCCTTTCTGATGAAAGTTTTGGGTATGAGCAATTAATTTGTGTTTTATTATTAGGAGAGCATGCCATACATTTTTATTTAAAAAATAATTATATCAATTATATATTTATTATTAATAATTATTTATCAGTACCTTGCTTTCAGTCTTAAAATCCGGAATTTAATTATAGATAGTTAAATATTTGTTTCAATAATAAATTATATTTAATTATCATGGGCTAATTAAATCGTCTCTCGTCTTCATTTCAATCGGCCTCCATATTTAATTACGGTAACAATAGCACGGAAAGACTGAAAAACTATGAATCAGTAATTACGTTTCCACCAAGCTATATTTGCAGTTAATAGTGTTTTATTATCTTAATCAATTGTTTTTATGGAGTTCTAATCAGATTTAAAATTCATCGAACATATAATTACTTAAAAAAGACAATTTAAACTAAAAGAGATGTCTGTACTTTGATTAATCAATGTAGCAATAAATATAATTAAATAATAAATTAACTTGAACAGCCATATTTCTCTTATGAATAGAATATTAATCAAACAAATTAAATTAATTCCTCGTGCTATTCTAATATTTAATGTGAGCACAGGTATTGATGTATGAGTGTTAATTACATGTCTTTCCTTCTTTCCAAAAAGAGCCTACAATCTCATAGTCTTCACTCTTGCATGCAAACCAGGATTCTAGACTCATCTGTGAATTCTGGTTGTGCAAACATAAACTCCGCTTTTTGTTGGAAATCTTTCAAGATACCTCTAAACACCACTACCATTTTAGATTATATATATCTACATATATACATATAGCTAGAGAGCAAAGGACGGAATTACACGTATAAGATGAAAAAGATTGAGATGGGTGATTACCGCAAGTCTAGTTTTGAAGACACTGAATATGGAGAGGAGAAAGAAAAGAAGAATTCATATAGTAAGATGAAGATGAGGCACATAAAGATGATGACATCTGGAAAGCTGAGGAGCTTGATTCTTTCTCGGATTCGAATGGCTCGATTAAAATTGTGGGCGGTTCGTGCGGTGAGCATGGGGCTATTATGGGCCATTGCAATTCAGTTCAGACCATTGAGTGACGCAATTAAGTCACATCCTCCCGCGTATCATTTTCCTCATCCGGTTCCCCCAGAGAGTAAGTACTATACATTCATAAACATACACATATACATATACATATATATATATATGTATGTTTATAAAAGTTTCCAGTAACGTGTTTGGTTAGCAAGAAAGTGACGAAAATAGAAGAGAAGTACGCACTTAAATGCATGCGTATGATTTCTGTGGATATAGAATGAAATTTTATAAACTATTTTCTTAGCTTTACGTGTTTGATCCTCTTACGGAGGGCGTTAAGATGACCCTTTATTTTTCTCATTTTGATTAATATTAATTCATGTATCGATTGAATCATATCCCAGGGATCTACAACAACAATGGATATTTGTTGATTTCATCCAACGGAGGATTAAATCAAATGCGATCTGGTGTAAGTACACATATAATATAATCTGTTATATACTGACCAGAGGTTTCAATATTTTGTATATGTAATTAAATATATGTACTGTTGTACGTATAGATATGTGATATGGTTGCAATAGCAAGGTTTTTAAACGTCACTATGATTGTTCCTGAACTGGATAATACCTCATTTTGGAACGACCACAGGTAATAATAATAATAATAATTAACTCCATTGTGATTTTGATTTAACATGTTTATTTGACTAAACAGCTACTGAATAAAAATCTGACAATTTGGTATGGCAGTCAATTTTCAGAAATATTTGATGTAGATTATTTCATTATATCGTTGCGAGACGAACTCAGAATATTGAAAGAACTGCCTCCCCAGCAAAAGAAAAAAGCATCAGAACCGCTTTTCACCATGCCACCTATTAGTTGGTCTAATATGACATACTACTATAACGTGGTATGTATTATATTGTGTATTGTTGTATATACGTTTCTTGAGTATAATATATGTATATGTATATGTATATTGGGTATATAGATCATTATGTATTAATGTTTATGTGCATGGTGAAAAAGATTCTTCCAAGGATACAAAAGCATGAAGTGGTGCATTTCCAAAAAACTGATGCGAGGCTTGCTAATAATGGGATCCCTGAAGAGGTTCAGAAACTACGGTGTAAAGCGAATTATAAGGCCCTTAAATTTGCTCCTCCAATACAGGCCTTGGCGGAGAAGGTGGTGCGTCTTCTCAGAGAAAAAGGTCCTTTTCTGGTTCTTCATCTCAGATATGAAATGGATATGGTTGCCTTCTCTGGTTGCAACGAAGGCTGCAATCCTCAAGAAGTTGAAGAATTGACAAAAATGAGGTAACTAATCAATAGTAATAATTAAGCGTATATATATATATATATATATCTATCTATATATAGGGAGAGAGAGACATGTGGCTGATCTGGTTAAACTGCATGCATGTTATCAGATATGCTTATCCATGGTGGAAAAAAAAAGTGATAGACTCGGAGAAGAAAAGGCAAGCAGGATTGTGTCCTCTAACACCAGAGGAAACTGCACTGTCAATGCAAGCGTTGGGTATTGACAGCAATATACAGGTTTATATTGCTGCCGGGGATATATATGGAGGAGAAAGAAGGTTGGCAACGCTCAGAGCAGCTTATCCAAATTTGGTAATTATACTGATCAGTTAACTACATCCCTGATAATTTAGAAACAAATTAGTGAATTATTTACCAAAAATTTATAATGGGATTATATATCTATGTATATATTTCACTTAATTTGCACTAGGTATACATAAATTATAACAGGTTAAAAAGGAAACTATATTGCCACCTGAAGAGCTTGAGCCAATCAAGAACTATTCAAACCAGATGGCAGCCCTGGATTATCATGTTGCAGTAGAAAGTGATATCTTCGTTCCCACCAATGGTGGAAACATGGCGAAAGTTGTGGAAGGCCACCGAAGGTACTATAAATGTAATTCGTTTAATTAAAATTAGAAATTTCTATGTTGGATCAACCTGCAACGACTTTTGGTTGAATATAATGAATGAACAGGTTCTTGGGATTCAAGAAAACAATACTTCTGGACAGAAAGGCTCTGGTTGATTTGATTGATTTGTATAGAAGTGGAGCAATAAACTGGGAAGAATTCTCGAGTGAAGTAAAAGAAGCTCATGCAGACAGAGTAGGAAACCCAACAAAAAGACTGGTGGTTCCTGGAAAACCCAAGGAAGAAGACTACTTTTACACCAATCCGGAGGAATGTTTACAAGTTCCTGAACCAGTAGTAAAAGAGGAAACTACTCCAACTGATGACAATACCCAAAATGAAGATTCTCCAAATGATGAAGAACCTCGAGAGGATCAGTAGGCCGCATGCTTGCTCTCTTCTTTTAAGAAGACCCATGTGTAATTAATTTTCCTTTTTTATTTTGTCCAGACAAAAGAAGAACAGAAATTTTATTATTTCATCTATAATCACACACTTAGGTTTATTTTCGGTGACACTTGTTTTTAGTGTTGTAGAAAACCGAGATCATCAGCCTCCTTTGTTCAACTTATCATATATATATATATATATATATATATACACACACACACGCCCACAAAAAGTGATGGAAATAAATTAAAAATAAAGATTGTTGGTAATGCAAAAATATAAAATTGTTGTTATTTAAAAAGATATATTGAAAGAAAAAAATATATTATATTTAATTTGAATGAGATGTTGTAGAACAAAACATAATCTATAGGCAGCAAAAATCTCATATTAATTATTATTTATTAAATTACTATTAAATTCTGTTATTTAATTTTTTATTATTTTATTTTAATTTTTTTATAACCGCTAATTTATAATTTTTTTTGTAATTGATAATTTAATAAAATAAATTAATTCTAATAATGTCTCCCTTTAATTTATTTTTTTCGACATGCCGATCAAATTCTGATTGTATATGAACTTTTCTTTGGTCAACGATTTTGTAAATATATAAGTCAATTGTAGATCTGTTATACAAAATTTGAGTTGTACCTCTTCGTGCCGATTGCTTCTTGAATGTAATGATATTTGATAGCAATATATTTGATTCTGTCATGACTAATTGGATTCTCACTAATTGCAATTGCTGATTTACTGTCAGAAAATATTGGTTGTTGGGTTCTTTTTGCTTCTCACTACTATCTTCTAGAATTTGTTTTAACCAGACTGTTTTTGTGGTGGCACGAGCTGCTGTTATGTACTCAGTTTCAGCTGATAATAACATCACTACACTCTGCTTCTTTGATGACAATGAACAAAGATTAGATTCAAGTGAAAAAGCATATCCCAATGTACTTTTTCATGTCATCAATACATCTAGTCCAATCACTATCTATATAGCCGATCAATTTCGAGCTTTCTACTAGTCTATGTCATATGTCATAATCTGTTGTACTTTTAATATACGTGAGTACTCTCTTTGCAACAGTGAAGTTTAGTTAACTCGGATTGTTCATGAATCTTGATAATAGGTTAGCAGCAAACATAATATCTAGTCGTGTTGTAGTCAGATATAACAAACTTCCAACTAAACACCTATAGGTGGTTCCATTTGCCTTTTTTGCTCCATCTTCTTTTTTCAATTTTTCATTTGCCATTAGGAGTGTTGTAACTGACTTACAATCTTGTATATTAAACTTCTTTAAAATATTTTCTACATATTTTTTCAGTGATATGAAAACGCTTGTATCATATTGGCATACTTATATACCCAGAAAATCATGCCGTAAGCCAAGATCACTCATCTTGTAACGGCCCCAGAAATTTAAAAGGAAATGCATATAATAATTTGAGTGCGAAAGCGAAATAAATGTTAAGGTTAACATCCTTTACACGATAACCTAAAAATAATAAACAAACATCACGGAATAAATTCTCTGAAAGAAATACGATAAATGGAAAAAATAAAAGAAACTATAAAGCATCTAGCATCTACTCACAGCCTTCTTACGGATCGGGCTCGGGAATCAGGTCCTCCTGATCTAAAATGGTTAAATAAGGAGTGAGGTACACTAGCTCAGTAAGGACATCTTACTGTGTCGCCCGCACAGAAATAAAGATTGGTAGAAAACAAAAACAACCAATGGAACACTAAATTTAAATAAATTCGTTTATCATAAATAAAATCATTTACAGTTCACTTACTATTGTGAATTTATGAAACACCTATAAAAGACAATAATAATCATGGCAGATCATAACTTCATGTACAATCAGTAACATAAAAACATATCATAAATTCCTATTCATTGACAATAAATAATCAT